GGATTTTTCACCAGCTAATATTGTTGAATGTTGAATTATTGACTCAAATATTGACTTAAAGTCATTATGATTAATAAACCATTTTACCTTCACTTATTTTACAACGAGTACCTAGTTTGTTCTGGAACGTGTTCGCTTTAACTTAAAAGGTAGACCTCGACTTGAGACGGGAAATAATTAGCTGTTTAAAAATACTTCTTCTACTTCAAACTAGTTAGTAGCATTTCTTACCGATCGTTTTGTTCTTAATCGCATTTATTCACTTCAATCATAATTACGACATATAGTTATTATTGTTGCTAATAGGTTGTGACTTTTCGCAAAAAAGCCAGGAATCCTCATTAAAAAAATATTTAGAAAATCGAAAGCTGAACATTTTGTAAATAGTAACGCCTTTTGCTTAAATCGTGACAGCTTGCCAGTTCATTTAGTTGCGACAACCATTATACGCGTATATGATAATAATCGTCGTGCAAATGTATAAAAATTACCGAGGGTAAATATATAGTTTACTCTCTTAAAAATGTCATCAGAACCAAGTTATGTTTCTGTAGACACAAAACGTATTTATGGGTAAAAAAAAATAGCTTTTTAAATATTGTAAATGTTGAAATACCTATTTTGTGAAGCAGCAAATGTTTTGAAACAGAATTTTAAACCGGTTGTCATTCTCATTTCGGACTCAATAATTTTGTAACGTCACAAATTTTCACCAGCTTTAAAACGGAGTAGTTGAAATTCAATGGGTAAACATTCAATCATTGATGCAATAAAATGACAAGAAATCCGAAGAGCCGTTTATCTTAATTCGAACTTTCGCAAAGATAGTGACATTTGTAAATACAGTAAATCATGCGAATCAACTTGTTCCGTTCCAATGGGCATCATGAACTGATTCAACAACACACAGGTCCTGTAAACTGGTAGTTTGTTAACCAAAAATCATAGCGAACGATAGTAAAGTTATTGAAAAGAAGTATTAAGTCAATTTATTTGGAAAAATATTTGAGCGCAAACTCTCAATGTTGAGGTTGATCATCATTAGCGGCGTTTAGAAGCTCTGGAAATCGTGCGATAGAAATTTAGAGTCTTAGAAAGGGAACTCTTGCATTATTAGACCACATAACTAGAATACAAGATTTTCTTACTCCTTTTCTAAATTGGAACTAAAATCGATTGCATGAATTTCTGAGAAGTTGGAAATATCTGAGCATGTAACGGTTTCTTGCGTTTTGTGCATTTGGGAATGAACTTGCAAATCGTTATTTGATCAGGGAAATAATCAAGATCTTTAAGAAGGTTTAACGACTTTTCTTCAGACACTTGCACACCATTTACCAGAATAAATGTTGGCTTTTGTTATGGAAGAACTAAAATTTTATATAAATTAAAAAAATTTAAAAGGTAATCTTTGCACTGTTCTTCGTCTTCTTCATCACTAAATTTTTAAAGTGTTTTACCTGTTCCAATACTATATCGTTTACGACTATTTTTGTTCTGACTGGGTATTTACCTGAGAAAGCCATGGTCCTCTTTTGCTTGCTAATATTTTCATGTGGTATTTTTGACAGATTGCTTGTAGGGTATAGATTTATCTCTGAAGGTCGTCTTCTGTTTCCGCTAAGAGTACTAAGTCATCGGCATTATAAAACTCCATTTCATGTTTATGGTGGTGTTTTGGTCTAAATATATACCTTTAGGACATTTTGTTTTCCACTCTTTCACGTGGCATCTATATATACAGGGTGTCCCACCGGGAACCGCCGCAATTGATATCTGGTTAACTATAATTAGGAGAAATTTGAAAATTAGACAGTGTGCTGAAGTGGTTGGGAGCAAGCGATCTAAAATATTTTCAAGATGTCCACACTTCCGGTTATACCGGAAGTAGGTATCAATTTACTTATTTTAAATGGAACAACCTATATATTACTACACTTTTAAATTCTACTCTAAATTCTAAATATATTTTATGTACAACATCCTATACCTAAGTCTAATTGTTTTGGATATATTTGAAATTTTATGTAAAAAGTTGCAGCCTATCGAATAATTATTCATTTTGTCTATAAGGGAATATGCGCTACTTAACTTGAGTTACTCAAATTTCTTGTTGAAAAGGAATTACTTTAATGGAATTTTGGCAAAAATTTTATAACTATTAATACGAAGTGTTAAAAAAATAAGTTTCAATCAATCAAGCGCTAAATCAATTTTTTCAAATGAAAACCTCCATTTTGGATAATTTTACATTATTCAGTATTAAGAATAAGGGTAAGTTTATGTAAAGTTGTCTATTCGAAAAGTGTTTAGTTTTCGAAATATTGTCAATTAAGTTTAATGTTTTAATATGGCTATTTTACCGCATCTCATTTTAAATCTTGTTACTCTTAGTTGCCGTGACAAAGGTGGCCATTTTTAATACAATCAAATGCCAAAAGAATGCTGACAGCTGTCAGTTACCTTTTGAAATTAATTAATAATCATGTCCAGACTCTTAAATTATACTGCCGAAGATTATTTAAAAGTATTTATTATTTATGGAGATTGTGATAAAGTTATATCAAGAACATGTGACACGTTTGACATTCGATATCCACAAAAACAGAAGCCCTCAAGCCGTGCTGTTAAACAAATTATATAAAATTTAATAATTTTGAATACGTCTGAGTAACAGTGCGTGTTCAATTTATAAGGACAACGAGAAAAATTAGAGATACCAGATTAAAAAAAACTGATTTTTGTTCTAGATATAATAATAATGAATAATACATAAACGGTTATTGATATAACTTTATCATATTCTCCATAAATAATAAATAAGTTTCAGGATCAGTAACAGGATTTAAAATTACATGCGGTAACATAGCCCTATGAAAACATTAATTGACAATATTTCGAAAACTAAACACTTTTGGAATAGACAACTTCATACAAACTTACCCTTGTTTTCAATACTGAATAATATAAAATAATAAAAAATGGGGGTTTCCATTTGAAAAAATTGATAATGAATAAATGCGACTCAAATTCAGTAGGACATATTTCCATATAGGAAAAATGAAAGTTTCTCGAGTGGCAGCATCTGTTCATTTTCAAAAATTGTTAGACTTAGGTATAGGATATTATATATGGAAAATATTTAGAGTTTGGACTAGAATTGAAAAATGTAATAATATATAGGGTGTTCTATTTAAAATAAGCAAGATTATATCTACTTCCGGTATAACCGGAAGTGTGACCACCAATGATTTCTGCACACTGTCTAATTTTTTAATGTTGACTAGACTCCTCGGTAGTCTTGAGGGCTATTTCTATCTCCTTTCTTGAACAACGGAATTACTTTTGCTTTTCTCCATTCATCAGGGATAGTGCAGTTTTTCCGGCACGTATTAAATAAATGTAAGAGTCTAAGGTGTGATTTAAGTCCACCGTATTCCAAGAGTTCCGTATTGATACCATGCATATCAGTCGCTTTTTGGTTTTTCGTAGTTTTAAAGGTTTCTGTTAGTTCTGTTAGTTCTGTTAAGGCGATATCGTCCAAACCTCTTACGTATTTTTCTTGCATTGTTGTTTCATCTGCGATTTCATTCTACCACCGCTGTTTATAATTATTTACCCAATTTTCTTCGTCTATGTTCTTTATCTTCTATTATTTTCCTGGTTGTCTAATGCTTTAATTACTTTATAGGTCAGGATTTGACTACCATGTATGTCATGTTCGATGTTATTTATAAATTTGTCCCAAGACTCTGGCTTTTCTAGTCATTTCCTTCACGACATTTCTGTTTTGTTTGTAAATTTCATGGTTAGCTGCAGTGGGGTTGTTAAGATAATGTATGTATGTATGTATGTTTTTATTTTTCTCTCACTGCACCTTCTATTTCATATGTCCATATTCTTAATGTACTTTTGCACTGTTAAACCACATAACTAGAACCTTAGAATTTTTTTCACCTTTTCTAAATTGAAACTTTCTGAAGACGTTGGAATTATCTGAGAATGTAACGGTTTCTTGCCTTTTGTGCATTTAAGAATGAAACTCACAAATTCTTATCAAAAAACGTAATAAATTTAATAGGGGAAATAATAATGATATTTAAGAACATTTACAAGTTCTTCTTTAAATATTTGCAAACCATTTACTTAAATAAATGTTGGCTTTTGTTGTGTAAGATAAAAATTATAAATTTGCAATATTCACGTTTAGTTCAGTTGTCATCTCACCATCTTACTATGCCCTCGTCTAGTTCGGTGATTCGTTAATCGGACTTATTTACGAACATAAATAACTCTCCAAATGTTTACAGAGAAAAGTCAAATGCATGCCATAAAGGAATTCATGATAGGTCAGGTATCTTCAGCATAATTCGATGTTGTAACTGAGCCTGTCGGCTTTTTATCACCATTTCTGGTTGTGCATTAAATAGTGGGTGAATTCTTAAATAGTTCCTGATATGAGTTACGAGATTCGCTTGGGTAATTGAATTCTTAAACTGGTTCAGATCTATTTTATGTACTTCTGAATTTCAAGCTCATATATTATTCATTCACAAATATATTATTTAGTCTTATATTATTTATGAAATCTATGAAATCTTGTGTTTTGATTGATGAATTATTGCGAATTAAAGTCCGAAAACTTGACTAACACTTTTGAAATTTAAAGTTATATGACTGATGAAGATTTCAGAGAATGTTTTCACGTGATTGGGGCTATTATAAATATTGTTTAATGATGGATATTTTTGAGCAAGCTCCCAACTATATAATTGTGCATTCACCATAATTCCAAGAGCTTCAATGTTTACCTTCACGTATTCAGATTTTCTCATTATTTGCTTTAAAGTTTCAACTGAATGTAAAATTGGAATGTTACTGTCGAATATATTATCTTATCTACAAATTTATCTTTATTATTTTATCTAAAAAAGTAATTTGTGTATATTTTGAGGTCAATTTGAGGGCTTAATTTTTTACTTTATTCGCTTTTGTCTTACCTCGTCCGTAATGTCCCCCAAATGCTGCACATCTTCGGTTTCCTTAACTTCCTCTGTTTCCTCCCGGGACACCACTCTGCGTTCTTTAACTTCTCTGACAATTCCGTCTGAATTTGGAACTGCCACCCAATTTGATTTCTCCGGAGTGATATTTTCTCTCCCTTCGACCTCAGCTTTGGGGCCGTCCACTTCATCATCCCCAAGTTTGCGAAGCTGAAACAATCCGCACATTAGTTTGGTGTTAAAAATCCAACTCTTCAAAGGAAATTTAATTCCTAACGCAAATCTACCTCTGTTTGGTGATGCTCTTGAGTTTCCGTATCTTCTGTGGTGTTGGTTGTGACCATGGGTCCTGAATCTTCAACGACTTTCCCATCTTCCAAAACCACTTGTCTTTTAACACGAGTTTCGATTTGTTTAGTATTGAGAACCTCAGTTTTCTTCTTGCTTATCCATTCTTCTGCGAACCAACAAAAATATTACAAATTAGGTTCCATGAGTTTAATTTTTCTGTGTTTTCTAATGCTTAACCACCGACGAGTTAGTTGCGGTTTCTGGTAAAAACTTACCCTCTTTTGTTGTTGAAAATATGTCGCCTGGCTCAACCTGCGAGCAAGAAAACGTTGGCTTAATAAATATCTTCGAACTGTAGGTTACTCGTTTTCTAGGAAAACTTGGCAAACTATGACCACTCGGGTCTTTCACCAACACTATCACCACCATTCAACATTACTTGTATTCTTTGAAGTCTCTGGTAGATTTATGAATTTTTATATGAACATTTTTTGGGTTTCTCTGACAATTTGTGTTCATGCTAAATGTCATAACTATTGCGAGATGATCAAAGTGATCAATTGTCGAATGGGAAAGGCATATTTTGAAAATTTTAAAGGTTTATTTAATTGATTGTAAAATTTTCACGCAACAGCAGCACCCGAAGAAAATTAATTATCAGACAATATACCTCAGCAAAATGTACCATAGTATACATACAAGATCGGATTATTTACTGTTCACTAGCACCACCTAAACAACTTCTCACCAACAGTATATATTTCAACTGTCTTTCAGCAGTTGTCGAGGAATTAATTGTTATTCAGAAGATGTTCGTGTATCTCCAAAAGCTCGGCCGGAACCTCTTGATACGAATTATTGTTCCATATTTGGCCAGTTTGTGATTTTTTTGCTGCACGTTGTGACGAAATTACTATTGTGACCTACGATAATATGTTAAGCGTGTTTGGTGCTTGAAGATTCATCGCGTCAATGTGAAACAGGACGTGCGTAAACATGCAAATAGTGCAAATTATTTTTTGTTTCACATTTTTGGTCCTCTGTTAATCATATGTGTAAAATGGGGTTTTATATCTGAAGAATTTTCGGTACCTAGAGATAACTAGAAGTGTACCTATTTCTCATAATTATTTAGTCAAATCGGACGCAATATGAAACGACAATGCCGGCCGAGGAGTAATAGAAAATTTAATTCGTTCAGTTGAAACTAATAAATCATGAATTTTCAGTTCTATCCACCGCATTTTAGAATTATCCCCATTGCTTACTTGGAACAACGTGTATTGTGTCCAAATTTACATAATTTCACTAGATTTTTTCGAACCCGTATTCAATATAAATATTCTAACTTTCTTTTATTTATGAAATTCAATTGCACACATTAAAGTAACCCACTTTATTAATTTCGAACATAGACTTCACCTCTGTGCCAGCAACGGATGTTGAAAAAAAATTGAAATGATATTTGCATTTTCCTTCTCGATATATTCTTATGGAGCAATAACTCGCAGAAACAATAACACTTTCAACACGATATTAATCAAGAATTCACTTGCTGAAAATGTCTTTGACATTGTTAAAGTTGGTTATCTAATAACAGAAGGCACGAAAGCTCTTGTTTGAATGTTTCGCTACATGTTCGCTAACCTTCCATGACCCTATTTTGCAATTACAAAGAATCAGCTCTTAAATTGGCGCAACTGCAATAGTTCGTACTCGTATTCGCATCTAAGAGTATAAAATGTGACAAAAATAATTTTATTACCCAGTTTATATTAGACAACTTTAACAAAATAAGATCACAAATATTCTTTTTACCCAACTGAGGAATTTATGGATTGAATGGGGAGGACTGCTAGATTTCCAAGAAGCAATTTGTCATTTTGAAGGTCTCAAGTAAACTTCCTCGATTATTATTCATGAAACAAATATATTTTAAAGTTGCTCCATTGGAATTATGAATATTCTATATATATAGAATAGAATAAATAGTTTCAGTGCCGATCAAATAAATAGTGAGAACTCTATTTTATTTATCATCTCATAAAGAACATTGTTTTGTTCAAGTTGTCAACAGTAAAGAATTTGGAATAAATTAATGGTGTTGTGAATTAGAATGATTTGTTCACGCCCTACCAGCGTGAGTTACACTTCAAAAGATAAGATTAGTTAATTGTTATAATGGAAAATATTCACTTTCAGCCTTGCCCTTTAATATCGGAAGTAAACTGAGTAATCACGAAGTTGATATCGTAAAGAAACTTTCTATAAAAAAGCTTGATTTAATTCAAAATAAACCAAACAACCACTGCTGCTGCAAGCAAATACTTGCAGTATATTTAACAGCCAAAGTTATTGTCGGTTAAAAATTGTCTAATGATCAAAGCAAGTGTTCAAATTTTCATGCAAAGAACTGTAAATCAGATTTAAATTAGCCTGATGAATAGAATATGTGGAAATAAAATCACATGCAATATAAACTGGCACAGTAGCAGTAACTTGCCATGCAAATTTTCCTATTGTTCATCTATTTTCTTTTAATGAAATGCCAGATTGCATTTGCATGGATATAATTCTGAATAGATGGTTTATCTGAATGTAATGTGGCAACCTATCGGAATAGTTCCTTAATGATGCAGGTGTATAGATAGATAAAAGCAATGGGAACTAGTTACATATTTAATGTGCATTTTCTTCGACAATCATTTGACAGAATTGTTTTCATTTAATTCTTTGTTAGTTTTGTTTTGAATTTACGAGTGCTCATTATAATTCATTTCAAGTTTACTTTTAGGTATGTGAGACGGAAACATTTTCGTTTTTTAATAAAATTCAATATTATATGTTCGCATATACGTGATTAACTGCTTATATCACCACTAATTAATCTCAATGAAATAAAACTGGGCTTAATTGTTTACTAATGAATACCCTTAATAATTATAATTCCTACACATTCCTAAATATTGTGAAGAGCGAAATCCGAATAGGAATTGCACTTTAAGTCAAAGCTTTACTGCCTTTTGAGCGTTGTGCTATTTATACGCAATTCTACAATGACATATTTAAATACTCATTTATCCATTTTAGATCTCAAAACAACTGGAAATTAAATAATTTTTATTAGTCCGCCACATTGGCTGCACCAAGGTATGAAATCTGAATAATGCAAAATAATAATTGAAATTACTTTTCCTATCTGTCTACTAATTTGACAATAAAGGAGCAGGTATTTTGAAATTTTCATTTGTGCAAAATCGGCCACCGTCCCAGAGATATATTCTATTATAAATTGGTTCTGCAATCAATACACATATTCATTTTTTGTGATTAAGACTTTCACATGTATTGAAACAAGGCGTTACCCTAAAATGTTGAAAAGGTCACTGAATTTCTCGGTTCTGTGTTCTGCGGTAAACTTTGATTAGATGTGAGATTTGCAGATTTGATAAGATACGTTATTTTAAAAAATTGAGTTTATCGGTTAGTCTATCTTAGTTTTGAAAGGGGTGCTAAATAATCCGATAATATACATCTAAAAAGTCGGTCTGTACATATTTTCTTCGTTTGATTGACTGTTTCATTCAATATATACACATTTTGGCTTCATTTCAATGAAATGTAACTAAATGTATAAAAATTAACACAATACCCAGTAGTGAATGTTATAACAATCATTAGATAATATGCGGATGAAATGTTATACTGTACTCTTTTTCCATTTTTGACCTCCGTATATGAGAACAGAAAATAATTTTGAATTAGGAAATAGAACCATTTACAAATAATAATGTGAATTTTTTCAAACAATGGTAATATGCAGCTTTACGCAGTTGCCTATTATCCATTTCGCAGTGTGGAACAACAGTTGCGGATTCCCATTATGTTGCAAACAGCAATTGCGTAATTGCACTAGTGTGAGAAATGCGCTTTATATCAGTCTTGAATTATTATTTGAGTTGATGGTTCGATGTTATCCTAATAAAATGCGGCGATGTCTTCGTTATTAAGAGGCATTTCACTACCCTAGAAGGAAATCAGCAGCGTTTCTAATTACCTATAGTTTTAGGGTTTTCAGTGCCTCATGCATTATACACTGACATAATTACCGATACGTCAGTAACGCTGCACTTTATTCATTATTTATCAAGCAGTGGATTGGCTAAGATGATTACCTTAAGATAGCTGAACTTTATGCCAATCTGATATGCAAGTTAGCGTGCATTTATTTCTGTTGTGAAGGAAATAAATTTCTATTTAACATGTAGGCAGTAGTAAGTACTACTATAATTGCTTCTGACAAATTTTTTAATGAAAATAATAGCCAGAGAGTTTTTTTGCAATCAATTCTGCTATTAGTCAAGCATCATTGATGATCGTTCAATTTTCTGCCATTGTCTCCGTAGGCTTAAAATAAAATTTTTCTAAAGGAAATCGCCAAGGTTGTACGCTTATATTGAATTGTTCATTGGAAACTGAATATCTTTTTGCTCATTTTATGGGATTGGTGATCATCAGTTATTTAAGTTTTTTACTTATGTGCCTTTAAGCCACATTCAATGATATTTATATTTATAGTTGATGTATGTCAATTGTAGCTTTGAATGACTCTTCAATATTGAATGTAAGTGCTCTTGAAATTAGCATACCCGCATACTACGATATAAATCAGAACAATTAGCTAAATAAAAGCTTTGATTTTATTACATGAAAGGTCGCATTACAACCAACTAGCTAAATAACAATAAATCATTATCCCTGTAATTGGCATCCTTTCAAATGGACTTTAAAAGAATAATATTACTTAATTACCGTGTTAATTCGATTAATAAAGGTCACAATTATGTCTTGTAAGTGTTTATGATTAGAATAAATATACGTGAAGTACGGTTAATGTGTTTAATCTCACGTGCTCAACTTTTACTCGATTTGCATAAAACAGTTTATTGGAAAACTCGCTACTAAAATACAGTTGGATTTATGATCACCTGGTTTAGGTGAGAACATGGAGTAACATGAAACACAACAGCTTATATGATTGCCCTACATTTATTTGTTTTTTGAAGGTTTAAACGAATATTTTTATACAGTTTTATTTATTTTGAAAGTAATTTCTTTTCGTTGCACAACTTTTTTGAAAAATGTAATTCAATGTTAAACGCTAAAAGTTTGCCTCAATTAGCAACTACCGGGGGAATTACCCGTTAAATCCGTTTGCATAATTACTAGTTCAGTCATATAAATGTTAGCTTAACTTTTTTAATAATCAATAATTATCTTTCATATCTACAATACAACTTCGGTTGAACTAG